GGGGCCGTCACTGCCTGGGAGGGGAGAGAAAGAAAGGGGCTGGGACCCTAGAAGTAGGGAAAGGGGTGCAGGGCAAGAGAGACGGGAGCCTCGATCTCCGCGTGGTCTCCGCCCCCTCCGTCAGGAGGACGGAGAGGGGTCGCGGGAAGGTAACCTAGGTGGGATAAGAGACAGCCGGGTCCCTCTCTGCCCCCCCCCCCCGTGGCTGGGTGGGAGGGGGACCTTGCGCACCCCGAATTAGCGCCTGAGCCCCGAGGTTTCTTGCAACGAAAGAGGAAGGAGACGGAAAGCGAAAGCGAAAGGGGGAAACTGAGGCACTTTCAGACCTGAATCCACAAAGGCCACCAAAAAGTGTTTTTGCAATTTCAGTTTTTCTTCTGACTCTCCATTTTTTTTTTAAAGGTGAGGGAAGAGTTGAGCTTCCTTTTCTTCTTGGGGGAGTCTCTGAATTTGGGGAAGAGACAGAGAACCCCCCACCCCACATTCCCCCATTGCTGAACCGGGACCTGGAGGGGAGGAGTGAACTGAGGGAGAAGGATATTGGGGGGGGGTCTGAATTGCTCCCCTAAAATGTCTACCCAGAACTATCACTTTTGTGAGGGGGGCTGGACACCTTCCCTTTGAGATGGCTCTTGGGAGGCTCCAGGGGGACAGGAAAGAGGGCTGAACCCCCAAATCACGCAAAGACAGCTAGTAGGAGGGAAGTTGTGGGGGGGAAAAGAAAATTTGGGGGATAACTAGGAGATCTGGGGGTTCCCTTCTCCCCAAGATCCCCAGACCCCCAAGCCATCTAGATCAAAGTTGAGCAGCCCTCCCTCAACAGAGTGGGGGGAGGGAAAGGACCCCCCATCTCCTGCCTACAAAAGGGGTCTTTTCAGCAGCCCCAGGAAGGCTCCCCACCCCTTTGCCCCCCCAATTCAGGGGACTCTGAGGGCGCAGATAAACCCCTGGGGCTCGTCAAGGCCCCTCAGAGAACCAGTGACCGACTTTCAAAATGACCAAATGACTGCAAGGAATATCCGTCCTTCCACCCTCCACCATTTGGTCAGAACGGAAGAAGCCTCTGGGAGGAGAAGTGAAACGTCTTCAAGGGAAGAACCAGGAAAGTCCAGCTGCCTTTTGGAAAAGCCATTTTGGGCCAAGCGAGACCAGGAGGAGGGAGACTCTCCGGAGAGACACCCCCCCCCCGGCTCCCCCAGGTCCTTCCGAAGCCTCCGCTGACCCAGCCTGGACTCCTCATGGGGGGCCTTAGGGGAGCTTAAAGGGGCATCTAGTCCACCCCTCCAGGCACAGAGTTCAGATTCATGGGAGGGGTGCAAAAGGAAGTCTACAACCCCCATCAGACACCCCTCTAAAGCTGCAGCCTCCAAGACTGAAAATTTTCCCCTCCCTCACCTTCTCTGCTTCTATTGGGAGGGACATTGGGGGGGTCTGAGTTGCTCCTCCAAACTGCCCCTTTAGTGAAGGGGGCTGGAGCTCCTCCCTTTGAGGGGGCCTTGGGGGGCTGCAGGGGCGCCTATTAGGGAGGGGGACAGGAAAGAGGCCACGAAAATCATCCAAAGGCACCTTGTGGGGCTGAAGATGGGGGGAAGAGGAAAAGGGAAGGGGGGGCTTGAAGGGCGGGGAGAGCCCAGAAGCATGGGTGTAGGAATCCTTATTGTGACCCCCCTCCCCTTATGATCCCCCAAAGGAAGAGGGAGAGGATCTTACTTTCCCTCCAGCCCAGAGACTTCCTGGGGGGTGGGGGGTCTCTTCCCTCCCCGCATAAGTCCTGCCTTTTTGGGGGGGGGGCAAAGAGGCCAACGTTCCCTGCAGACAGTTAGGCCGAGTGCTGGACCAGCTGAACTTCTGCCTGCCTTTTTCCACCCTCGGGAGAAGGAGGCGGTCCCTTAGGAAGCTCCTCCCCTCCCTCATTTTCCTCCCCCCTCCCGACCCCCCACCAAGGGGGAATCCCGCTGGGACCGACGGTTCCCCATCCCTCCTCCAGGGGGCGCCTTCCGGCAGCCTCTTGCCGCAGGTTTCCCTCCCCTCCTCTGCCAAGCCCGTGTCCCTCCTCTAGGAGAGGCTGGGAACCATGGGCCCTGGAGTCCCTCCTGACGCCCTTCCTCCTCCTCCCCCTCCCCGCAGCCCATTTCCTGTACCAGTGGAAGTTCGAGTGCCATTTCCTGAACGGGACGCGGCGGGTGCGGTACCTGTACCGGGAGATCTACGACCAGCAGGAGTTTCTCCGCTTCGACAGCGCCCGCGGGGAGTTCGAGGCCGTCACGGCGTTGGGGAAGGTGGATGCGGAGGCTTTGAACAGGGATAAGCACTTCCTGCAGTACCAGAAGGCCCAAGTGGATGACTATTGCCGACCCAACTACGAGGTTGCCCAGAGCATTTCTGCGGTTGGCCGGAGAGGTGAGTGGGAGAAAGGGAGTTCCATGGGGGGGGAATGCAGGGACCCCCCTTTTCATTTCATTTATTTGGACTCTCCCGGAGAAAGATTTGTCTCTCATGTACTCTGTGCTCTCCGATCTATGAAATTTATTCATTGGTATTTATTGATAATTGTTGATACTCCTAATACCTTTACCTCCCTCAAAGCAGGGATCTGGATGGTGTACGATATAAAATCATCCCTAAATAAAAATGTATAAAAAATAAGCTTAAAAATTAAATTACCTTTAAAAAGTTTGAAATTCTACAACGATGACCATGAAACATGGAAAAGGGAAGAAATAGATTCCTCTCCTTCCCATCCATCCAACTTCCTTCTCTTCCCACGGTCCAAAGTTTCCCCTGCCCCAAAAAACTTCTTTCCAGAATATTATACCAAATATTATATTTTTTCTGGGGCGGGGAGGAATCCAGCAAGGTCTCTCTTGCCTAGTATATAGATATATTTCAATATAATCTATATAATATTTCAATATAATATTTTATATTAATAGATTTCTTTATTGAAGAAATTTATTGATTTACTTATCAACTTTTAACCATCTCAGAGGGACTTTGCATGGTGTACACATAAAATATAAAACCACCAAAATAATATATACAATTTAAGATGTAAAAGGCAGGAATGATTAAAATCCAGTGATAAAAAAACTCATTAAAGGGGGAGGGTTCAGGAGGCTGCCTCCTCCTCTGTGCCCCCCAAGCAAAGCCCCAGAGCCCCCTTTTCACCCTTTTCCGTAAAACCAGGAATGGGGGAGGGGCTCCCTTCACCTCTGAGGCCTTTGGGATTTCAGGATAAAAAGTGAACTTCCAAAGGTCTGGAAAAGGGAATTAGGGAAGGCTCTTTCGTCTGCTGTGTCTTGTCCTCTTTTAGTTCTTTTTATTCTTTATTCAGAGTCATTTGTTCATCCAATTTTGCGGTCTGGGAGAAAAAAACCCCTGAAGCCCCCTTTTGGTCACAGACTCAGCTCGACCTGCAGCCAAATCGCTTCCCTCTTCCTATCTGGGAAGGTTCCTCATTTGGGGGCAGAGATTAAAAAAACACCCACAAACATTAAAATTGAATTTCGGGCATTCGTTCAGCACTGAAGCCTCAGATTGTTTAGTTCCCTGTGTTTCATATGCAGTTGTTGCCATTTGTTGTTGCCAGGGTCTCCCAAAATAATATCCTACCAAAGAATTAAATAAGATCTTTCTTCCATAAGAGAAAAACCAAAAGATCCCAAGAGAAAAAGGCATTTTACCTGGAGATGCTAGGCATCTGCTCCTTCTGGAAATTATGGAATATTTAAGGGGAACCGACACAGATTTTGTTCTCCACATATTCAGTCTGGAATTCCTTTTTACTCCTAAATTCTTCCTTGCAAACCTAGGAAGATAATTAACTGTTCATAAAAAAATCCCAACCAGATCCCAGGATTAAATTACAAATAACCAAACCTTTAAAAATTGCAGGTTCTTAAACGTTATATAATTAGCTCTTCACAAGAGAATCCCTCAACGGAGAGAAATGTTGTTAGCAAAAGTTCTCTGAGCTGGAGTGGATCTATGAAGGACCCTCTTGGAGGGGCTCAGTCAGCCCTCGCCCCCATTAATCCATCCAAGAGTTGTGCCATTTGCTGGAGGAGGAGATAAAGAGGGATCCCTTCCAAGGCTGTGCTGTGATCCTGGGATCTGCCTGATCTACTCAGCCACCAGCTGCCCCCACCTTCCCTTTCCCCAAGATCCTCTCCCCCCCCCAGATCCTTTCCGCCCTCCCTGTCCGGAATGGGGCAACTCACTGCACGACAATTCAACAATTTTATTCAATTATTTAAAATGATTTTTAAAATGTTTTTAATTTTTGTCCTTCACATTTCATTTTGCTCCTCTCTTGGCCTCCTTCATTTCCTGATTCTCTTTCTCCATTTCTTCCATATTGTGTAACTTTTGTGCTGTGTTGAGTTGGCTGAGTTGTCCTAGACCCCTTCCTGCCCCCCCATCCCAGGCAGGAGGGTCGGACCCCTCCCCACCTCCTTCCCCAGGCAAAATGGGGCTGGGAGGGACGCCAGACAGCTGCAGGGAGAGGTTGGGGGGGGGAACCTGGGCAGAAAAAACCAAAGGTTCAAGTACAGATTAGGTGAAATCTGGCTCAAAATCAGGGGGTCCTAATGGGGAGCATCACACTGGGGGTAGTTGTTGAATTAAGATACAATCCCCCCTCCCCCCTCACACGTCCTGTTCCTCCCCATCTTTCAACTATAATTTTATCTTGATTGGCAATTCCATTTTGATTGCTATAGAAATATTTATCTGTTAGGATTTTAATGTGTTAATGCTGTAAGCTAGGGCTTTTCAACCTTTTCACTGACTGTACCACTTTTAGGATATGGCAATTTTCGAGTACCACCTAGCAAGGTGTCAAAGACTTGATGACCAAAAAAAAAAACCTGTTTAAAGTTGCAATTGCACTGAAATGACTTATGACCATTTTTCACACTTATGACCATTGCAGCAGGCCCAGGGTCATGTGATTTATATTTGGATGCTTGGCAACTGATTCATATTTATGATGGTCACAGTGTCCCAGGGTCATGTGATCCCCTTTTGAAACCTATTGACAAGCAAAGTCATTGGCAGGTGGCCAAGTGCTAAGGTGGGACTTCCTTCCCTCCCTCCCTCCTTCCCTGCCTCCCTCTTTCTCATTCTCATTCCCATCTCCTTCTGAAGGAAGAATTTGAACCCCCCCTATTTCCCCTCTTCTATATATTCATTGAACAAGGAAAAGCCTCCAGAGAACGAAAAGACAAGCCATTGAGGGAACTAGCTTAAAAAGGTGCATTCCCCTTTAAGAATTAGCTACTGGCTAGAAAGGAAAGTTAAGACGCCCAGCCGGCACTTAAGGAAGAAAAAAAATGTAAATAAGTACTGGCTGCCGGCTAAGACAGCCTCCCCAAATGGCTCCATTCATAAGTAAAGGAATGCTACAGGCAAAATCCATTCAGGAGAAAAATACTTCAAAATCCCTTGCAGCAAAACTTACAGCTAACAATAGCAGAGCAATAGAAGCTAACATGAGACATCAACCATCAGCCAAATAGAAATTGCCAAACACTCCTTAAGAACACAAAGCCCCCATTGCACAAATCCCAGAACTACAAAGGCACATTAGAATCCTTCCACTCTCCATCTCCCTCCTTGCCTCACCTCCAGCCAATGCTGCCTTTCTTCATTGTTGTCTTTCTTCATTGCTGCCTTTCTTCATTGCTGCCTTTCTTTATTACTCATGGAGGGCAATCCCTCCTCCCTACATTCCTTGCCTCTTGGTTGCTGCCAGCATAGGTGGCTGCCACAAAAGTTGAAGATCCACTTGTGGCCGGCCTGCTTGATTTCCTCTCCTCTCCCCCACCCTCCTCCTCCTTCTTTCCATTCCGTGCAGCTAGAGCTGACTCCTCCTCCTCCCAAGGCTGCTTCTTTTTTCTCTCTCTTTCTCCCAGCCCAAACTGCCTCCTTTTATAGCCTGTCTCCATCCCTCCTCCTCCTTTCTCATGGAGGACCCCCCACTCGGTCTTCACTCGGACCCCGGAAACGGAGTGGGGTCGGTGAGACGTCGAGGTCTCCTGAGAGAGTGTCATTCAGGAACGGACGCGACCGAGCAAGGGAGGGGGTGATGTGTTGGCTGGGCAGGGCAGCATACCATCTGCCATGTGCTCATGTACCACAGGTGGTACACGTACCACCAGTTGAAAAGCCCTACTAGCTGCCTAGAGTCATTTTATCATGAGATGATGGCAAATAAATTTAATAAATAAATAAATGTTCTGGTATGATACCTATTTTTAAAAAATGTGGTTTTCTTTTGAATGGGATCCCTGCAATTCTCCAAATATGCTGTGTGTGTGTTCCCTGTCTTCTGTGTCTCTTTCTGTCTCCCACACATCTGGCAGGAAATTCCTTCCATCCTGAGGCATTTCCAGCATTTTATTCCTGTTGGACTTATGCAATTTGATGATGGAAACTGATCCCAATCTGGAATGATTTATGTTTTTCCATCTTTCAGGATCCCCTTTAATTTCTTGCTGCAATTTGCTTTGGAAATGACTTAAAACAAATAATATTTTCATGACTGAAAAGGGATCTTGGCCTGAAATAACCAACTTGGTCTCCTGTTCTGACCCCTCCTGTGTCCACCATCCTCCTCTGCACCGCAAGGGGCTTCTACCCCGTGGAGATCGAGGTCTGGTGGCTGAAGAACGGGCGGCCGGAGGAGGAGGGCGTGGCCTTCGGGGAGGAGCTCCAGAATGGAGACTGGACCTACCAGGTGCAGGTGATGCTGGAGACCCAACCCCAGCGGGGGGACGTCTACGCCTGCCAGGTGGAGCATGCCAGCCTGGAGGCCCCCATCACCGTCCAGTGGGGTGAGCCCCTCCCCTCCCTCCCCTCCTGCTCTGGGGACCCCATCCTGCCCTGAGAAGGGAGGGAGAGACCCTCCCTGTGGGAAGAGCTGGGATGGACTCTCCTTGGGGGGGAAGCTGGCCTTGATCCTCCTGCTCAGGGGGGGCTCCTTCTCCTTCCCCAGAGCCCCGTTCCTCCAACTCGGCCAGGAGCAAACTCTGGACGGGGATCGTGGCAGCCATGATCGGGGTGATCTTCTTTGCCATGGGGCTCTCCCTCTACCTGAAGAGCAAGAAAGGTGAGTCTGGGGGGCTGGATGAGAGATTGTGGGGAGGGGACCATCCAGGGGAGGCCTCTCAGCAAGCTTAGCAGATGGCAAGGAGGCTCCCCTTGGAGATTTGCTTGGGAAATTCTGTTCTTTGAGAGTCTACTGTATAAGTGAGCATCCTGCAAACTATTATGGGCTATCGATGGGGAGGGGGACCATCTGAGTCCTCCAGCCCATGAAGGGTTCTGATTGGTTCTTTTTCTCCTTCCAGCAACTCCCATCCAGCCTCCTGCAGGTGAGTTTCTCCTCATGTTATAGATGTTTCTTTAATATTCATTAATTGTTCCTTTTTAAAAAAACAAACAAACCTCCTAGCTGTGGATAACACAATTTTTTGTAATTTTGGGCAGCTTTTCCTTTCAGAGACCTGAAAATACATTGCAATCAAAAACAAACATACACACAAACACTAAAATCTGGCCCAGGATGTTTCCATGTTTTGGGAAATTGCAAAAGGGAAGGGAAGTCTCCTTGTGACATTTCTCACACTTCCTGGCCAAGTGACACCCGGCTTTGCTTCCACCCTCCATCCTATCCCCATCTTCTTTGTTAATATGAAACATCTGGGGGGGGACGCCTCCTCTCTTGATTAACCCCCTAATGAAATCATTTGGGGAACATTCCATAAGTCCCGGGAGATGAATCCCTGGTCCTTTGCATCCTTTTCCTCCCTGAAAATCCCTGGGGGGATTCTCCCTCATTCTGCCCCTGCCTATCAACCACCCGCCTGCAATGTAGGCCTGTCTGGGGGGGGCTGAAAAAGAGGAATAATGTTATTTACACTGAAGGTTTCACTTTGTATTCTCATTTTCTAATTTTCGCCCCATCTCTTTTTTTCTACAGCACTGATGAATTAATCCTTCCTGCTTCCTGATGGGAAAGGATTTTTTTTTTAGTAGCTGACGAATTTGTGGCTTTTTCACAACCTCTGAAAAATGGAGGCTCAAGATTTTAGATCGGGGAGAGGAGAACGGCAGCCTGGAGCTTCTCCTGCTGAGATTTCCGCCCCCCCACCTCTGCCTTTCTTTTCAGGCCTCCCTTTATTGTGAGGGAGGGATGGAGACCATCTAGACTGACCCCAGGGACTCTGGGCCTGTCTGTCAGTCCAGAACCCCAAATCTCTCCCCCCTTTGAATCCACAGCAGCTTCATCCCCATTAGTCTTCCTATGAATCATTTCCCTTCACTTTGCTATAAAAGAATAAAACTTATATTGTAGGAAAAAT